CCATTAATACTAGTGATAATGCTCTTTTAACATGTGCCTGTTGAATGGGATGGGGATTTATAAAGTTCACTACTGAGAAAAATAATGCAGTGAGTCTCATCACAGCCAATGTCCTTATACAATCTAGTTGTGAAATGAATGTTCATAATGCTTCACACAGTTTAAACCTGMAGTTCAATACCACACCTTCATGTCTGCACAGTCCTCAGTTGTCTGCAGTTTTTAAAACCATTCAAAGAACAAACCATTGATGAAAACCACATTGATTTAAGGCTCCATTATGTAAGAGAGAGCCCTAAGCTAGATGGTTAAATATATGCTCTACTTGTACTGACAGCTATTATTTGATTTTCTCATGACTATTAAAAGTTGGTTCTCAGCAGAAAAACCTTTAAAGGCAATATCACCTCATTTGAGTTTTGACCCAGAAGTTCAACAACAATCATGAAGYCCACAGTCTTCTATCTGGCAAAACTGATCCACAGTGTCTCTAGGTCATTATGCTCAAGGCTAAGAGTGAAGCATATTCCGTTTTTACATTTTACTGGAATTTTACATGTTCAAYTCATGATTTTTAAATCTCTAGGTTTTCAGTCCTCCAAACTGTCTGAAGACACAGTGTGCCACAGACTTAAGACTTCTGTTTCACCCTCTATTTTCTTCAAACAGAAACATTTCTCAAGTGTCTACATGTTCTAGAAGGGGAATTTTTCAGAGGTGGCCTCTTCTTCGGAATAGTCCCACGACATCAGGCCTCAGAAGCAAGGGGAAGGGGAAGAAAAAAAAAAAGCTGACACACAAGGTTCATCTGGTAAGTTTTACATTAATCATTACAAGCTGCACGGTATAAGAATGTGCGTGCGTGTGTGTGTTTTTTTCTTTTGGGCTCAAAAAGTCTGAGTCTTGGTGTGGAAACAAGTACTTGGCTGTACCACCACAGCTTTCTCGCAGTGGGACTGTCAGGGAGTCTTGACTGGGGAGTATGATTTGTTTACCTATTAGACCGAAACTTCCAGGCACTCAGTTCATTTTGGGCTTATTCCACTTCGCCTTTCATTTTTAGGAAAAAACAAGTTGATTGCTGGGTCTACCATTGTTGATCTCAGTTGGGCAGCACTCGGCTGCTGGACTTGCTTGAGGTACTGAATTTGAGTAGTACACTCTTGCTTGCATCTCTTGTTCCTTCGTTGCTAGTCACATTACAAGGATGTTTTCCCTGCGTGCAGACTCCTGCTGCTGTTGCTTTAGTTTTTCTTCAGACTCCCTTAAACCAGTTATGTCATTTGAGTTAAGATCTGTGTACTTGCCCTCCAAAGCTTGAATGTAAGCTTCATATTGTTTCCATTCTTAGAATTAACTCGTCTCTTGCCATAACTTTGAAGTCTGTTTCACTCAGTCGAACCTGGCATGTGTGATGCACTGGGTTCAATCCTCTTTTTTGGAAGAGCTTCTTCGTAGGTCATATAT